AACATCGTCCATTACCCTCAGGGGCCTGAGCGTCAGAGGTCAGGGAATATCGGCCACTACCTTCCTAGGGCCTAGGCTTCAGAGGTCAGGAAACATCGTCCATTAACTTCTGGTTGCCTGAGCCTCAGGGGTCAGGGGAACATCGTCCATGACCTTCCAGGGGCCTGTTGCCTTTTGGTACTAAGAGGAATCGATGTGACATGACTCACTGCAGCTCCCTCTTTCTGACACAGTCTCGGCCTCCCTCCCTGCTGCTCCCAGGATGACATCAAGGCCCTCAAGGGGGTTCACCCCCTTGCTGCTGCTGCCATGAACCCACCATGAAATGGCACTGAACTCAGGGCACAGCCTCATGAGCAGGGTAACGTGTCCACCCAGCACTGACAGGGAGCCTGTATGCAGCAGGCCCTTCTAGGTCAGCTGAACCAGTGCTGGACCAGCAAGCTTTGCTCATCTCTCTCCCACAGGCAACAGGTCAGAGCCTCTGCTTCACTAGAAAAATTCAAAATACAGGATGGAAAATGTTTAGCTGACCCTGGGCTGCGTACGGCACTCGCCCTCCCATTTGTGATGCCCTCCAGTGAAGGGCAGCAAGCTGGGGGCTGCTGCACCCCCAAACGCAGCTTTGAAGATCACCTTGGGAATCTGTTTCAGTCTTGGCCTGGAGTCCTGGCTTTAATGCTTTCTTCCCAGGACCCTCTGGGCAGGCTGCCCACATTCCAGACACCCTCCCATCCACTTCGCCTTCTCTGATTATATAGGCAGCCCCACCTCCGCAGCCTCCCCTGCACCCTTCACTGTTTCAGAAAGCCGCGCTTCCCTGTCTCCTACAGACAGTTCACAAGACTTGCTTCTCACCCACCACCATCGGAGAGGACAAAGAAACCACCTACATCCCACACTCCAAAGTACAAGGTGAGCCGGGTAAAAAGGGTGACCTACAAAATGCTGGCATGAAGTAAGAGAATGGAGCCTAGAAACCCTTAGGCTCTACTTCCAGTATCAGATACAGGAGAGTGAGAGCTAGCAGCCAGGTGGGACACCACCCAGCCATCTAAACCACACTTGAAGAGCTCTACAAGATCGGACTAAGCTAAGGCAAGTGGCAACAAACAAAATCCCTGCATTTCTCAAATGCTCACTGGGCCACGCCATCAGATCAGGCCAGACCCGGCTTCAGAGGACTCAGAAGGATACATGTGGCTGAAGGTGACAGCTGGGGCTTTGCAGGGCACAACCCGGGTCTGACCTGTGTAATCCAGGCCCAGGGTGAGGAGGGGCTTGCATGGGCGCTCGGGACGATCCGTCCAGATTTTATCCACCAGGTTCTCTTTGACAGGAATGAGGTGGTGACCGGCACCTCTGAGGACTTTGGCCATCTTCTTCCAGTAATCTGAGAAAACAAACATGGCCCGGACATGGAGCAACCACCCATTTCAGCTTGAGGGCCTGGAGCTTTCTGAAAGGAGGTCCCGGCATGGCCTGGTGCCAGGTGGGCAGCATGAGGAAGCATAGAAGGATGTTCACCCAAACGTGGTACTCCCCTGCCTCCACCCTGATGATGACCGCCACGCTGCCGACACCAAAGTTCCACAGCCCACACCACAACCAGGAGAATGGAGAGGAGCCTAGAACCCACTCCCTCAGCCAAGCTGGAAGGACGCAAGCTCCTCACCTGTGGGAATGATGAGCGGGTCCACTCCGACCCTGGATCCCTCAGGAAGCACACTCACCAGCCAGTCTTCCTGAGTTGGCGTGTCCTTCAGACCTACGGTGGAAGGAAGGATGGAAAATCCACTGTGGAGCCACGCAAGCCCACTGTCTCGTCCACAAGGACGTCATGTTCGCAGACATCAGCACAGCTGAGTCTTTATGGACCACCTTCTGGGTTGGCAGAACTTGGAAAATCTGAACCTCCCTTAATTCTGGAAGATTGCAGAAAGATGGTGGTATGTGGAGAGGGCAAAAAGGGATGCAAACAAACATCAAGAAGCAAAAAAGAAAACCTATTTTCCTGTTTGACAGGGAGGATAGATCGTCATCCTGGGAACCATTCCAACAGAGACATAGTGTCGCCATAAAGTTCATCTTACTGGTCTCGGTCACTATACATTTCGGGGCCCCTCCTGAGAATCTGGGCTCGCAGCTGAGTTCCCCCGAATCACACACACAGGTCAGGCCATCAGAACTCTCTGCTCCCCTCAAAGGTGCAGGGACAGGGGGAGGAAGGCCCATGACCAGACTTGACTGGAGAGCTGAGTCCATGTCTCCGAAGCAAAGACATGTTTCTGCAGATGACAAGGAAGACGCACAGGGACCTGCCCTCACTGTCCTCAGCAGTGCGCACTAAGCCTCTCAACTCCTAACACCTGTCTGCTTCCAAGACATCAGTCCTGAGGAGCTAAAGAAGCTTCCAGAAAGTAACTCAAAGCATTTTTTATCTTCTGGTTTTCCTCTACTCCAAGCCTCTATCTACTACTATATTGGAACAGCTATCTTTTTTTTTTTTTTAACTAATCAGATTTTGGGGAAGCAATTAGCATCTTTGTTTATACATGCATGTATTTTTTAAAGAAAGTGCCCATACTCTAGCACTTATCTTAGTATTTTTTCCAAGGCCTTCTGATAATCACATAACCACAAATGGGAAGTTCAAAGGTCTCCAAAGAAACTAGCTCAGGAATCCCAGCCCTCAGAGACCCAGAGAAGCTGGCAGGGAGCATGCCTTTGCTACTTGATTCTCATCTACTTTTTTCTTCCAAACCGCTGAGCAAGCCACATATTAATGAAGTTTCTTTTAGTGACCCAGGAGAACCCCCACAAGATGAAGTCATTTCACTTCCTAGCTGACAGATCTTTGGCAAAACCCCAGGCATGAATGACTCACTGGTCAACCTGACCCACCAGAAAGCCCCAAGCCAAGAGATGTCCTGAGATAGGCATAGTGAAGAGAAGGCAAACTAGAGAGGGGCTTGAAAGGGAAGACTTCCCCCTCCCCGTACCCCACAGAGATGCTGTGGAAGAAAGGCCTGGCAATCTACTTACAACCGCCACCACCAGCAGCTTATAACTACCAACACCCCCACCTCACCCTCCATGTATGGTTCTCAGACACATTCAGAGCTGACTCAAAGATGGTCTTTTAGCATCCGTACACCCACATTGCAAGTGTTAGTAAAGCTTAGTCATATTCATTTAGAAATATTAATATTTATAAAAAAATAAATAGAAGGTCAAATACTTCTTTTACCCCAGTGGTAAAAGAAAAATGGCCCATCTTGTGGTTAGTAGTCAAACGCTCAGCAGTTTGCACCATCCAAGGACCCCAAGGAGATGGACGCTGGCACATGTGCGCGATGTATAAACCAGCACGTGCAGGTGGTGAGTAATGAGTCAAGCTCGTTAGCAGAGCAATATAGTCAGTCGACAACTGTCTGCGGGCCTCTTATCCATCCCCTTTTAACCTGAGAGAGAGAGGGAGGGAGGGGAAGGGGAAGTGGGAGAGAGAGTGCATGAGAAAGAGAGAGGGAGGGAGGGAGAGTGGGAGAGAGAGAGAGTGCATGAGACAGAGAGAGGGAGGGAGAGAGAGTGAGAGAGAGAGAGAGAGAGAGGATAGAGAGTGCATGAGAAAGAGAGAGGGAGAGGGGGGATAGAGAGTGCATGAGACAGAGAGAGGGAGGGAGGGAGAGTGGGAGAGAGAGTGAGAGGGAGAGAGTGCATGAGACAGAGAAAAGGAGGGAGAGAGAGGGAGGGAGAGAGAGTGAGAGAGAGAGGGGGGGATAGAGAGTGCATGAGACAGAGAGAGGCAGGGAGGGAGAGTGGGAGAGAGAGTGAGAGAGAGTGCATGAGACAGAGAGAGGGAGGGAGGGAGAGTGGGAGAGAGAGTGAGTGGGAGAGAAGGAGGGAGGGAGGAAAGGAGAGAGAGGGAGAAAGGGATGGAGAGTGGGGAGTGAGTGGGGGAAAGAGAGAGAGACAGACAGACACAGACTGGGAGAAAACAACTGTTTTTCAAAAAACTGTTGCTCAGTGGAATACCACTCAGCACGCACGAGCAATGCCTTTGTAAATTAGTACCTAACTTGGGAGGGACTGGAGAGCATTCTGCTGAGTGAACTCAGTCCCACAAGGACAAATATTGTATAAAACCATTACTGAAGAATGAGTATTAGGATCCAAGAGAGGTGGGAGCACAGGGATGAGGATGTGCAGGGTGAGGGGAGCTTAATCATGGCGCTGTACAATTTGATGGGGGGGAGGTGTGTGAAGGAACTTGGAAGAATCTGTTCTGGAAAACAATGTATTTTAATTTTGTAAATAAACTGGTATAATAATAATAAAATAGTACAGGTAAAAAAATCCAACTATTGCGTTGGTGTTTGATATTTCTAAAAATACAAAATGATGTTCGAAGAAATTAAATAAATAAATAAAAGAAATTTAGAACAAAATAGCTCCTGATGTGTTCCTAAGATAAACGACACATAGGGACATATGTGAATAGGGAGTGGCACACGTGTATTCATCCATGAGTACGCGCGCACACACACACACACACACACACCCCAAAGTGCGTTAGCTGCTTTGGGACCGACCCCACCAGCCCAGTTCAGCCCTGAGTCATGAGGCTGGTGACACCGCTTTCCCCACAGCTTCCTACAGCCAACAAGAAAAGTCGGGCATTTCGCCTCAACATCTCTTGGCCAGGGCTTTTTTTCCCTTCCTTATTTCTGTCCCCAAGTTCAAAATAGGTGGGAGACCTTTCTAGAGTCACTAAAACCAAGTTTCCAGTGACTGTTTTAGTGACATGAAAAGATAAGCATGGCCCAAAGTTAAATGAAAAGGGAGTGTACACACACACGCGCGCGCGCGCACACACTCCACATAAGCGAAGGCATTCACATTCAACACTGAACTGCATCTTTTCCATATTATTTCATTTGATCTTCAGAACTTCATGTGATACTTTGTGACACTTGTTACTATTATCCTATTTTACAGATGAGAAAGCCAAAATGTTGAAAAGTGAAATAACTTGCCCAACAAAGTTCCAGACCCAAGCTCTCACTCTTTTTTTCTCCAAAGCTGAGCTGTGTGAAGCAAGTCTGGGAACCCTCAAGAGATCTCCAGAATGGTCCCGTTTCCACTACCAATGCCCCCGCCTTCAGCTCTCTCTAACACACGGCATAAAAGCAATGCAACGGAGCTCAGTGCCCAGGTCCAATGCCTGTCAGCTGTCTGGTCTATAACATATCATCATCCTCGTGGCCCCGTTTCCCCTAAACCAAAACCAAAAGAAAGGGAAAACCCCCAAGCTTCCATCAAGCCAGCCCCCACGCGGGCTCCACACGCACCCTGTCAGTGCAGAACTGTGCCCACAGGATTCTCAATGGCTGATTTTTTGAGAAGTACATCACCAGGCCTTTATTCCTAGACTTACTCAGATGGACTCAATGTCATCTTTCAAAATGCTGCCAAGGGCTTTACCAGCTGTGCCACCAGGAATTTCACCCTGAGCCAGCCTTCCCGCCCCACTTCACTCCCAAAAACCTAGGGATAAGCATGCCATTTCTTGGTTTCCCTTTGGTTCTCTAGGGGCCCACGGCCCTAGAAAAAGGACTGAGATGCAGACACCCTAAAGAGGTGGAAGGTACGTTCCCAGAACTTGCCCTCGGGCACTAGCCACGTGTCTACCCACCCATCTTCATGAGCGTCCAGTTGCTGTCCATCTGCTTGGCAGCCTGGAGGAAGTAGCGCCCGTCGGTCCACATGGCCGCATGCTCTTCTGTGATGATGGCTGTGCCTGCAGAAGGGGGGCAAGTAAAAGGGAAAGGGTCCCGACCACCACCCAGAAGCTGCATGGGGGGGGGGGGGGTGCAGTAGGAGGGTAAGAGCCAGGAGAGCCGCTGGCTCTTCTGCAGGCCAGCCACCTGCCGCAGATTGGGGCAGGGGCAGAAGGAGTGTCAATTCTAGAGAAAACTCAAGGCAGAAGACCCAGCCGTGGGCCACAGTGAAGGGAACAGTCCCAGGACCTTTCCCACCTGGGCACTTGGCCTGGCACTGAAAGGACCCAATGCCACAGCCGACAGAGCAGAAGGCCGTGGAGTTAAGGCCAAAGCAGTCCCATGCTCCACAGGGTGGGAACGGAACTGCTTAGCGGCCATGGTGCTCTGCGCTGTTCACCTGTCCCACAGGGAGGCTGCCAGCACCCTGTGCACAGTCACAGGGACTCAGCCGTCACCTGCAGGGAGTCTGCCTTCACCTCTACCTGCCCTCCATTCCCACAGGCTTGGCAGCACTCGGGGCTTTCAACAGAGGCACCAGCCAAGACCAACCAGAATGTGCCAACGCACATAGTCCCTCTCACCAGAGGAAGCATGTGTTAACTGCTGGAGTGAAGTCTCGCCAAGTCAAGTTAGTTCAAGGCATGGGAGCCTGCAGAGGGGAAACGTACCCCGAATCTAAAAGGCAAACTGCTTCAGAAAAGTCAGTCAGGGCACCAGTGTTGTTCACCTTTGTTACTTAGGTCTCAGGTGGAAAAAGAGAAAGCAAAGCCAAGTGCCTGGAGCACTGCTGTACTTTAACACTGACTTCAAGACTAAGGCGAGCGGCTCTAAGTGCCATCAATGACCCGTTCTTATTGGAGGTGCTAGTGACACAGGTATATTTCATTTCATTAAGATGCTCTTCTGTATATATGCTACAGTCAATGAAAAAGTTCAAAGGCTTTTTTTAATAAAAATTGCTTAAAATAGAACAGCAAAGGTAAGGAGAGGAGAAAGGGGTCATTGAAAGGTGGCCTCGGAGCCGGGCATGCTGGAAGCACATCCCCTTTTCCGTAGAGGCTCTGTGGGGAACATCTGCTTTGCATTTTCTTCTTAGTTCTCCATCACCAGCTGAAACCTGGTCCAGCTATTTTTGGGAGGAGAACAAAGATACAGCAAAGAACAGAGGGAGAATGTGGAGACTCACCCGCAGAGCCGTCGAAGCCTGAGACGAAGGCCCGCCGGCAGTCACACAGCGCGATGTATTCACTCTGGAAAACCAAGGTGACAAGGTCACAGGCCTCATTCGGTGGCTCGCTGGCTGCCTTCCAACCACTCTGCCCAAGGCAGGTACAGGTGGGACCGAAAAGGCCGGGGAAGCCCTGTCACCTGCCCTCCAGGAGTCAACCACCTAAATGAACAAACTTTGGCGGGTTGCTTCCTAACTGGAGGACATGGCAGGAGACTCCAAAGGAGTTAACCAAAGGCCAACAGAGCTGTTCCCTGGAGCGTCTCTCTCCTTCTTTAGAGAGTAAAGCAACTCAAGAGAAACAGATAAAAACCATCCTTTCTTCACTGAGATCTTACTCCAAAGAAACCAAATCTCTTCCTTGCCACTGACATTTAACCATCTGTTATTTTTCTGAAAAGTAAGGCTGACTTTCTGTTTTATGTGCCAACAACTCCCTTCAGACATTAGCTGGCTTCTGGACTTCCTGTTTGTGTCCACCTTCAAAGTAGCACCCCTGAGCTCTCTTGCAGACCCTATCCTTCCTCTTAGGGAACAAATGGAAAAAATTCCTCCCACCCAGGAGGTTCCACAAAACGAAAGATGCATCCAATGTCACACCATGTCCCTCTCAGCCAATAATTCCCCTCCTTTAACCACAAGAACTTCTGGTAGCAAGGGCATCACGGCCTCTCCAGCAACAAATAATAGTCTTAGCATCTGAAAGATTCTGGGTTTTCCCCCTCCCATTCTCCATGGATGCTGTTGGGAGTCAGTTATCTGTGCTGTCCTTCCTTCCAAGCATGATGTCATCTCCCAAGGACTTGCCCCTCCTAACACTTGCCCAAAGCATGTGAGACGAAGCTTCAAAATCCTGGCCTCCAAGGAGCAACCTGGCTTCAACCTCTCCAGGACAGACCTGTATGTTCTCTTGGCGGTCCACAGTATATTCAATACTCTTCTCCAGCACCACAGCTCAAAGGCATCCATTCTTCTTCTGTCATTCTTAGTCATTGTTCAGCTCTCAGATGGAGAGCAAGCAAACAATTGAGAATACCACAGCCTAGATCAGGCACATCTTAGTGCCTTGTCTGACATCACTGCTCGTTAGCACTCTACAGAGGTCGACAGCAGATTTCCCCAATGCAACTCATCTGATTTGTACAGTAGTTTATATTAATATAGTATGAGTCAGAATCATTACAATAGCAGGCCATACACAGAAAAGAATTAAAAGCAAATATATATATGTGTGTGTGTGTGTGTGTGTGTGTATTTTTATTTTTTTTTTCTATTTGTGTCAGAGCTTTAATTCTTTTTTTTTTTTTGTTTGGTTTTTTTTGTGTGTTTTTTTTCTTTTTAATTTCTTTTTTTTTCATTTCAATGAACATCTACAGAGATTTTGGAATTCCATTCATTCATTGTTGTACCCCTCTCCCCGCCCCTATTTTTTTTTTAGGCTCCTCTCTGATGGCCTAGTGGTAACGAACATCAGTGCCATCCCAAAGGCATGTAGTTCAAATCCACCAACTGCTCCAAGGGAGGATAGATAATCTCTTCCTATACAATTTGCAGCCACTGAAAACCTACCAGATGGTCATTTATGTGTCAGTTCCCACTCAGTGATACAAAAGAACAAACAAAAAAAAAAAAGATGAAGACTGGAGACTGAAAAAAAAAAGATCCTCATTTGTGAGCAGAGAGGATGAGGCTGAGACGTGCACCCCTAGTAAAAGTCAGTGAGGCACAGGGAGTTTAGGGAACTCGCCCAAAGTTACACAGCTAGTTCGTAGGAAAGGCAGGACTGGAAGCCAGGAAATTGGCCCCAGAGACTCAACCCTGAAGCGCTCTGTCACACTGCCACATTATGACACATTATCTCTTGTAGCAAATCTCCAGAATAAGATCAATAGTACATGAGAAATGAAGGTTCCCAGAGAATCTTTAATTCCTTCCTCAGTGGCAGCTTCATGGAAAACTGAGTAGTCCAAGCGTGGCACAAATGGTCAGAAGCTCAACTACTACCTGAAGGGCTGGTGGTTCGAATTCACCCAGAGTCACCTCAGAAAGCAAGCCTGGCAATTGGCTCCCAAAGGTCACAGCCTTGGGAACCCTGAGCAGCAGTTCTCCTGTACACACCAACAACCTGACACCACCTAACAATAAAGGGACCAAAGCCAGTTCCGCTTGTCTCAAGTGGTGTCACAGGCTTCTTCGTGGTCCCGACAGGGTTAATCAATCCTTGGGATGGAAGGATGGGGAGCAGGGCTGCTGGCCAGACCCCAAGGCACCCCGGACAATCAACATGATGTGACAAAATGAAAGTCACCAGGCTAGAGGTCAGAGCCTGGGTTCCTGGCCTGCGTCTGCCCATCTCTCTATTCTGCCTGAACGAGTCTGCCCTCCTGCAGCCCAAGTTCCTCCTCACCCCAATGAGAAATCCAGGCTGCAAGATCGGAGACCCTTTCTGCCCTCTGAGGATATGTTGCCATGGCAACTCCCTCCCACCACACAGGCCTCTGGCCACACGCTTTAAAGCATCCAAAACTATGGATTTAGTGTGTTAGACAGTGCAGAAGGAAGACAGGCCGATTACGGAATGCTAAGGCATTTTCACTGTCCAGCTGCCGGTCACCTCACTGAGCTCGGTTCTCCGCCCCTCTACATGGCTCTTTTCTTGCTGCATTTTGCTACCTGAAACCCACTGATATGTGGGGTTAGCAGGGTGTTTCATGTGGGGTTGGTTGGTTGGTTGGTTGGTTGGTTGGTTGGTTGGTTTGGGGCTTGGTTTGGTGGATTTCTTTTTCACTTCTTACCTTTTGGGGATAATGCTTCTAGATAGCAGTTTTTCATCAGGGTAAATTATCACACTGACAACACCCCTTTAACAGGAAGCTGAGATGGGGTCACTCAGGCATCAGTTGAGCTGATCAGTCAGGCTGGGACACTGGAGGGACTGGGAGGCCACAGAGGATAGGAGACCCCCAATACTGGCAGATGACGCAAGAGTCAGGTCACCACGTTGGCACTCCAGTTGTGGTCGCTGCTGTTGTGCCACTTTTTATCTATTCCACTCACAGCAACCGTGTAAGACAGGGCTGGGTGGACCCCATTGGGTGTCTAAGGATGGATAAGCAGATTGCCACATCTTCCCTTGCAGCGCAGTGGATGGATCTGAACCACCGACCTAACAGTTAACAGTTACCATCAGGACTTGTTATGAGAGCACTCACTCACTTTTCTTCATTTCAACTCACAGATTCTCCACCTCAGGTTTCCGCTGTTCATGTCACTAGGAGGAGACTGCTCATTGTTCTCCTGTGAAGGCACTGTGGACTTGAACTGCCAGAGAGGCAAGGCCTGTAGTTTAACAGATCAGCTGCTACAGACCATCACAGAGCATCAATGATGGTAGCAGGAGACAGGAAACAGGAGGTCTTGCAGAGAGGACCATGGGGAATCTTCAGAAAACCATGCCCTGTGCTCTGAGGCGGCCCAGCGCCAGCTCTGTGCCCAGAAAGAGGCTGTAAGACTCGTGCCTTCCTCTGTTCTCCTTCATTCTCTAGAATTCAAAACAACAGCTAGCAACGTGCTGTAACGCGGCCACCCTGAGGGATGGTAGGAGGGCTTTTGTGGACCAGATGAAGATCACCAAAGAACATCTAAGACAGAAGCAACCTGAAAATTTCAAACTGCCATAGAAAACTAACACAAGTTATGGAAAACTGTGGCTTCCCTAAACAACTTCGACGTATTAAGAACTCTTTTTTTTTCACCAACAGGGCTGTACATCCCAGTGGAAGCAATATTATTAATCTCTTCTTGTTGAACCACTCATAGTCGTCAAAGGGGCAAGGGAAACTAAACTAACAAAACTCCCTCTCTCTTGTGCTTTTAAATTACCATCCATGAGGAGGAATACACGGAGAGGCCCGCTCTCAACGAGGCAGTGGCTCCAGGGTCTCGGGATGCTCCACCCTGTGCGCGCAGAGTGAGGGGGTGGCCGAGTGGCAGTGCTAACCTTGGCCTAGCTCCGTTCTTCAGGGACACAGCTCTCAAAGAAAGTCCCTTTCCTAACTGGACAAGCCTGAGTGTGAAGGCAGGGGACTCACCTCTACGGATGCCCAGCAGCAAAGGTTTCTCCCAACAGGGTCAGACTTTAACAGAAGGTGACATGTTTGATTTGGGACATGGACAATGTCTGGGGCAAGCACATCTAGACATGATCTAAGCATTCAGTGCACCAGGAAGACGCCACTGGCCGAGGCTGACCGCAACCTCCCCTCTACACCAACAGGCTGAGCAGAGGCCAGTCCGCCACTGGAGCTGGGCCTCCCACTCTTTTCCCAGAGCCGCGAAGCTGGCAAAGCCCAGGACATTCTCCCCGGAGAACAGCAATGGGTCAAAAGGAAGCCAAAGCCGCAGCACTGGAGGAAAAGAGCAAAAAGCAGCAAAGCTGTCGGCTTTTCCTCCAAAACCATCACTTCTGTTTCAAGCACAAGTAGTCCAAGATGCCAGCATCCCTAACACCTTAGCCACTGTCCGCACAAATGTCAAGGTATGAGATCATGTTAGCACAGCTTCTCATCCAATGTAGCATAAAATCCTAACAAAAGAAAAAATTTTAAAAAAAAAAAACCCCAATCCTAACCCTGCCCCCAGTCCCATGAGGCACCACATGATTCCTCTTAACTCCCATCCACCCTCCTGCCAACTCATCATACTCCCTGTCACACTAGCTCGTTGCTTCTCTGTGCAGGTCCTAAGTTCACTTCTGCTTCAGACCTTAGACAGCCCCTTCTGTAGGCTTTGTAATGCCATGTCATAAATGTCAACCATTTCACCTTACTTGGATCTACAATCAATACCCTTGGCTCCAGCAGTCAGAAGATGCACTGAGAAAACCTGCTGTCAAGGAGCTCTCCAGAGTATTCAAGAGCAACAATGTCAGCTTAAAAACTAAGGTGTGCCTGATCAAAGTCATGGTCTTTTCAATTATTTGCTATGCATCTGAAAGCTGGACAATGCCTAGGGGTGACAGAA